CTTCGCTATCGCCAACCTTTCCAGTGTCGTCTTCGCTTCGTTAACAAAACGGAATGTAGTGTTGGCAAAAGCGGGAAGTGTCGGCCAAAGTTGACAATTTCTTGCCGGTGGGTCAGCAGCGTGGGTCGCGGTCTGCCAGGGCGCCTCGTCACAGCAAAGCAGACCAATTTGTGTTTTTATGGCAGCAGCTTGGGTCGGCTGCGGGCGCGCGTGGCACCCGTGCCGCGATGGGAGATGGGAGCCGTGGCTAGAGAGATTGAGGTGCCTGTGTGCCTCTCTCTCTCTCTCTCTCTCTCCTCTCTCTCTCTCTCTCTCTCTCTCTCTCTCTCTCTCTCTCTCTCTCTCTCTCTCTCTCTCTCTCTCTCTCTCTCTCTCTCTCGCTCTCTCTCTCTCTCTTCTCTCTCTCTCTCTCTCTCTCTCTCTCTCTCTCTCTCTCTCTCTCTCTCTCTCTCTCTCTCTCTCTCTCTCTCTCTCTCTCTCTCTCTCTCTTTCTCCTCTCTCTCTCTTCTCTTCTCTTCTCTCTTCTTCCCCCTTCTCTTCCTCTCTCTTCTACCCTTACTCTCTCCCCTCCCTATCCTCTTCTTCCACTTCTTTTCCCTCTCTTGCTCTTCCTCGCTCCTTACTCTCCTCTCTCCATCCTCTTTTCCCTTTTCTTCCCCCTCCTCTTCCCTCGCTTCTTACTTCTCCTCTTCCCTCTCTTTCCCTTCCTCTCCCTCGCTTCTTACTCTCCTCTTCCCTCACTCTCCCTCTCTCTCCCGTCTTCCCTTCCTCTTCCCTCTCTCCTTACTCTCCTCCCTTCCCTCTCCTTACTCTCCTCTCCCCATCTCTCCTCTTCCCTCTCTTTCCCTTCTCTTCCCTCTCTCCTACTCTCCTCTTCCTCTTTCCTTCCCTATCCCTCTTCCCATCTCTTTTTCCCTTCCTCTTCCCTCGCTTCTTTACTTTCCTCTCCCATTTCTCCTCCCTCTTCCTTTCCTCTCCTCTCCCTCTTTCTTCCATTTCTCTTTCCCTTCCTCTTCCTTGCTTCTACTCTCCTCTTCCCTCTCCTTTCCTCTCCCTACCCTCCTCTTCCCTCTCCTTTCCCCCTTCTCCCCTCTCTCCTTACTCTCTCTTTCCCTCCTCTTCCATCTCCTTTCCTCTCCATCTCTCTTCTCTCTTCCTGTGCCCCCGCCGCCATCAATATCAGTGTCACACTACCTCATCACTCTTTTTTCCAATATCTTACCAACCTCATAACTCCTTCCCTCGCCCCCCCCCCCTTCCCTCCCTTTTCTATTCTCTCTTCTCATCATCTCGGTTTTTATTTCAGTTCCCTTTTCTGTCTTTTCTATAGCGGGCGAGGATGCTTTATTATTATTATTATGTTATTATTATATTATTATTATTATTATTATTATTTATTATTATTATTATTATTATATATTATTATTATTATTATTATTATTATTATTATTATTATTATTATAATTATTATTATTATTATTATTATTATATCATCATCATCATCACCTGCTTCATCTTCTATTCTTTTTTGTAATCTGTTCATCAATTTTTCTTTCGATTTTTGGTATCTCCTATTTCTTGCCTTCTCTATCTTTCCCTCGGCTGCGTCTGTCACCTTTATTTCTCCCCCTTCCCTTGTACCACCTTTTTTTTGCTATTATTTAGTTTTTTTTATTTTATTTTTATGTTTATTTTTTTATTTTCTCTCCTCTCCCTTTCTTCTACTACTGCATACTCTCTCTTTCCGCCTCCTCCTTTTTTCCTCACCTCCTCCGCCTCCAACTACCCCTCCTCCTCCCTTTTCCTCCTTCTCCTCCTCCTCCTCCTCCTTTTCCTCCTTCCTCCTCCTCCTCCCCTCTCCTCCCTCCTCCTCCTCCTCCTCTTCTCCCCTCCTCTCCTCCTCCCCTCCTCTCCTCCTCCTCCTTCTCCCCTCCTCCCCTCATTTTCTCCTCCCCCTCCTCCTCCATTCCCCACTCCCCTCCTCCTCCTCCCCCCTCCACCCTCCCCTCCCCCTCCTCCATCCCGCACCGCAACAGCAAACCTCTCTCCCTCTCCTCTCCTCTCCCTCTCCTCTCCCTCTCCCTCTCTCTCCTCTCCCTCCCTCTCCCTCTCCCTCCCTCTCCCTCTCCCTCTCCTCTTCCCTCCCTCCTCCCTCTCCCTCTCCCTCTCCCTCTCCTCATAGTTGGCCGACAGCCCGCTTCGCATTAGCATAGTGTGCGACTTTTAACAATTGATTTATTTAGCGTTTGCATGGGAGGAGCTTATCCGTTTTTTGTTTTAACTTGTCGAGTGAAATTTCCTTCACATGGCGAGGGTGCGATTGAAAAGGAAGAAAGGATAGATAGAGATTTGGGGGAATGGCGAGCTCCGGGGGCAGGGGGGCTAGGGGGAAGGAGAGAGGAGAATGAGGAGTGAAGGAGAGGGAGAAAGGAGAAGAGGAAGGAGGCAGGAATGATGGAGGGTTCGGTGTGAAGAAAAGGGGATTGGGAAAAATATGGCG